TGTTATGCTCCGGACAAAAATTAATGATGACTACAATACAACTTTACCGAAAGTATTAACTTTGTTAACATACTCTCATATATATAAAAGCTGTTAGTAAAACAGTGTGCTTGACTATTCTCAATGCTTAAAAGTAAAGCAAGAGCCTTGATAATGTAACTTTTTAAATTCAAAAAGAGCCATAATTGTGTCAAAATCCATGTTAGAACAGTGGTCTATTATACTCTCGAATAAATGTGTGGAGTTTGAACCCATTCCCTTCATTAGTTTTTGAGTTACAAACTTGCACCAATGTGTGACGCCGACACCGGTGCCGCCACCCTGGATGACAACAATGGCTCTCCCTATTCTTCGAAAAGTCGAGCTTAGATGCATTTTTTCTTCTTTTTGTTTTGTCAGATTATTCTTTTCTTCCTTAATTTATAAGCAAAATTTTTAATTAAGAAAAAATTGAAGTTTTATGTATAATTTTTACTGTGAAATGTATGAAATTGGATAGCATAACGAATTCAAATGATTATAATTTAAAATTAGCATGGTAAACTTTCTTTATATTTTGCACAAATGTTAAGGATAGTTTCCAAATAATTATTATTAAAAAATATTTGATGCCTCGATTACATTAGACAAAATCTGATGTTTTTTCTAACACCACCCTCGTCTTATTTGATGGCCCAGTCAATAGTGGAGTCCATAAAACTTGAGCGCATACATCGTATGGGAGCGCCCGGCTCTCGTCGGGACCGCAACGTTGTTATAAAATTTGCGTTTTTCTCAGACAGGGAGATTGTTCGTCGGCAAAAGCGTTTGTTCAGAGGATCGGATTATTACCTTTATGAACAATTCCCGCCGGAAATAGCAGCCCGACGAAGGAGGTTAGTACCAAAACTACAGGAGGCAATTAAGGCCAACAAAAAGGCATGGATGGTATATGATACCCTTTATATCGATGGACAGCCAGTTAAGTGTCAATAGGAACGGACGGAGAATGGGCTTGCCTGGAACTGTAACGGTTTAACAGACAGCAGACTATCAGACCCAGAATTTATTTCTTTTTTGACGAAATATGACATTATTATTATTAGTGAATCATGGACCGATAATAATTCTGTTGTTGATATTGAAAATTTTGCTACATATAACTTTTTCAGGAAATTTAAGCATAAGAAAGCTAAGCGTAATAGTGGAGGAATTACCATATATGTTAGAAATACTTGTAATGAGGGAGTGTCCGTAGTAAAAAATCACTTTGATACTATTATTTGGTTAAAGCTAAATGCATTTTTTTTTCAATTTTGATAGAGATATTTACTTATGTGGTCTATATTTATGGTCCGATGAGTCGCCGGCTGCTAATGTAATTGATGCGGATCTGTTCGAACTATTAATGCAAGACATCTATTACTTTGATCAAATCGGATGTATGTTATTGGCGGGGGAACTGGAATTGTAGAGTAGGAAATAGGCCAGATTATATACTTTGTGATTCAAATATAAATTTTACGGAGGATTTGAATTATATACCCGATGAGACCCTTCCCAGAACCTCATGCGATATCGTATGCAATAGCCGGGGATTAAAAATGTTAGATCTGTGTAAAGCAACAGGTTTGCGAATTGCTAATGGGCGTTATATAAACACGGACTCCTTTACATTTTTAACCGTAATTCAAGCAGTACAATCGACTATCTTTTGTTAAAAGAGTTTCACTCACTTAATTCTTTTGAAATATTACCTTTCAACACATTTAGCGACCACGCAGCGTTGTCGTTTAATATAAATGGAATTGAGCCGTATCGTACAGATACAGATGTACATTCTTCCGAATCACATATTTACTATAAATGGAAAGCTGATAAAAAGGCATCATTTAGAAGCAATATTATTGGAAATTTAAATATTTTTAATAATACTGATTTTGATGACACTCTTGACGTAGATTCAGTAGTAACGCAGTTCTCGCGAGCTATTTTAGACGCGGCGGATTCATTATTTAAAAAAGAATATAAGGGTAATTCAAATAATAGGAACACGGCGCGTGATAATAGTTCTTCATGGTTCGATGATGAATGTTTAATGCTTAAAAATGAATTTAAAAACACACTAATTTTATTTAATTACTGCAAGTCTGATTATAATAGAGCGCAGTTGTGCGACGCAAGGAAACGTTTCAAATATATTTCACGCAAAAAGAAACGTGCACATAAAATAAAGAAATCAAGGGAATTGACCGATCTAAAAAATAAAAAGCCTCGTGACTTCTGGAAACATTTTAAGGCAAAATATAATAATTCAAATGGTAATATATCGCCGGATGAGTTTAAGACATATTTCTCTGGATTATTTAGTTATATTAGGACAACTTCCATTGATAATGTTGAAACTTTCAACGAAACTTCCTATTTTAATGTGAATGATTCAACATTCAGTGAACTTAATGGCCCTATATCGCTACAAGAGGTTATCACAGCAGTAAAAAGTCTTAAGCGCAACAAATCATCGTGTCCAAGTGATCACTTAATTCACGAATATTTAATAGAAACAATTGATATACTTGGTAGCCATATTACTGATTTATTCAACAAAGTGTTCAATGCTGGACAATTCCCAGAATCCTGGTCTCAAGGATTTAAAGTGCCTATCTTTAAAAAGGGGGATAAAAATTTGCCAAATAGTTATCGTGGGATCACTTTATTAAGCAATCTGGGAAAATTATATACAAGTATACTGACAGGTAGAATTAAAAAAAGGTTAGAAAAAAAAACAATTTTATTTCAGACGCTCACTTTGGTTTTAGAAAGGGTAGGAGTACGGTTGATGCGGCCTTTGTATTACATAACTTAATAGAACACGTTTTATCACAAAAGTTGAGACTGCACTGCGCATTCATTAATCTGCAGAAAGCCTTCGAATCCGTCGACCGCAATGCACTGTGGTTCAAACTTTTCAATATGGGCATCGATGGCAAAATTCTACAAACGTTTAGGGCAATGTATGCTGTAGTAAAATCGTGCGTTAAAAGTTGTAATAAGTACTCAGACTTCTTCGAAATATCAATCGGTCTAAGACAAGGTCTTAATAATTCTCCTGCCTTGTTCGCGTTATTTCTAGAGGATTTAGAACTATTTTTGCAAGATTCGAACACGTCTGGTTTAACAATGTATGACATTTGTGTAATATTACTAATGTTTACAGACGATATGGTAATATTTTTATGGCATACACATTCATAATGTCTACTTTACTTAATCATGTATAACTATTGATTGAAACAGATGCTGAGGACATGTCCATATTATCAACGACTATATATGATATTCCGTTCGTTCTCCAATAGTACTTTTTATAAATTGTTTTTCTTTACTGCCAAAAATAATATTTGATGTAATCAGTTTAAAAAAAAATATTTCTAGAACAGGTGTTAATTTTATTCTAACTTGTATGATTGTTCAATTGATAGAAAGTATTTGTTCACTTTACTTAAGTTAATTTTCAAATTTGATTTTTCTTTTTCTAAGATGAATATTTAAGTACATATTTTCGAAGGTAATGTCTTAAGAACATACACATACTTATTTAATCTTTAATAAACATTATTGATTGCTGATACAGAATGTTAACATTGTCAATCATAGTGACCATATGCCATATATTTTGTAAATGTATATTGTACAACGATGTACCATATGTTGTGTACAAGTTGAAAATAAAATCATTCTTCTTCTTCTTCTTCTTATTCTCATATTTGATGTAAAATGACAGGTACAAACATTTTTTTTTCATTTACATTTTACAAGATTTATTTGAAGTTATTTAAAAACTATAGTTCAATAAAATCACTTTTCAAGTAAGAAAAATATTAAATAAAAGACATTTTTCTACAGATAGTGAAAACATAATTGTTGTTGTTGTTTAAAACCGATACAAATGTTGAACTTTTTTGTCAATATTTTTCAAACATATAAATATTTTTTTTTTAACTTTTGTAATTTCTTGTATTTATGTCTGGAATATAGTAAAACTTAATAATATAAAGTTTTAAACGCCTTTTGAAAAAGTGTCATTTATACATCTAATACCTTAATCAAATTTCATTTTGCCGTCAATAACAACCACGTACAAACATCATTCTTCTAATACAGGAACGGAATATAAAGAGGAATGGCCTCATACCCTGTCATGTTTTAATCTATTATCTATAATCTTTTACGTAAAGTCTTCTCCAGAAAAAATAATAAGATGTGTTTAATTGTACGCCCATTTTTAACAAGTATCGGTGGTTCTACTTAGTGCTATTTATTGCACGAAGGCGCACCCCGAGGGTTTCCTCCACCAGTAAGACTGGAAAATCCCCATAAAACATTTACTGTGTTTTTTTTTTATAATTTATTTTTTTCTCAGTGATCATGCAATAGTACAGTGTACATAACATATAATAAACTTCTGTCCAGTTATAAAAGCATGGTCACAAAGAGTTGTTTTTTTCACACCCAAACACACGCCCGCACACACATCCGCACCCATACACCCACATTTCCAATTCATAGATACCAACGGGTTTTATAACTATACATATTTCGAACATAACGCACACACAAAACAGCACACACAAAACAGCACACATACATTTCGGGTACCATCGGCAATACGATACTCGTATTAGTGTAACCTAATATTTAAACAAAAAGAAAAAGGGAAAGTAAAGGGGGTGAAAAATTAAATACAAAAGAACAAGAAAAAAAAAAACAACAGAAGATACATCTACAGTTTTTGACTGCTTTTATCGGTGGTTCTACTTAGTGCTATTTATTGCACGAAGGCGCACCCCGAGGGTTTCCTCCACCAGTAAGACTGGAAAATCCCCATAAAACATTTACTGTGTTGCTGCGAACTAAATCCTGTACGAATATTTTGGCAGTATTTGGAAGGACAAGTCGTTTTCAACAACATATTTTCAGTTTGGTTATCATAAGAACATGATTATATAAAACGGAAACACTTTAGTTTAAATAAGTTTTATAAAGTATCCAAGTATATCTGGTAATGATTTATTACAATTTATCCAACGAATGCTGTGTCACCACCATCTGTGAAATAAAACAATAAAATAAACTATTTTGAAGAGTCAAAGAAACAAAACATGTTAACAAAAATCCATGTATATGTGGTAATTATAATGTAACTATGTCAAACTGATGTACCATTCTGCTGTTGCTGTGATTTAATCAACATAACGATTGACAATCTCCCACTCAGTGATCTCCCTTTACAGGATTAGATTCTCTGCCATCAAAACATTTTCATCAAGATTTTTTGACGATATGATTTTTTTTTCAATTTTGATATTTATTTTAAAAAGTAAAACACGGTTTTTGATAATGATTCAAGACCGTAAGGAGTTAGATGTGAACTCAAAAAACAAGAAGTATCTTTAAAAAAAAGTAAACTAAATAAATGCAAAAGAACTTTTCAGTACAAAAAATTAATGTTAGCAATGCTTGCATAACAATGACATAAAATTATTTCTTGTAGCTAAGAAAATACCCTGTTTTATGAACATTGAAATTAAATCATAACTTATTGATATTGATGGTTTTTCAAAGTAGAACAACTCCTATTTTATATGTCTCTTTATTGTTTTATGTTTGACTTTATAACGTTTTGTAATCGTTTACAAATTAACAATTAAAAACCTATTCTCATTCCTAAACATTATCCTTTACATTATACATTCTATATTCTATAGTGGCAAAAACTATCCCTTACATTTTATTTTCGAGATATCCTTAACATATTATTTTAGAATAGTAATAACTACCCATCTAGAATGACCAGACCAATGAGATTCACCGAGTTCGGGTTGTTTTTTTTTTAAATGACGAATGAACAATTTTTCAAATATTCAGTCCTTCCCTGTTAGTTTTACAGGAAGTCAAACTGATAACAGACGGACGTCGTCCGAAAAAAAATCGGTAACATGAATATTATGAAATAATTTTTAATATCGCACCGTTTATTTCCAAAACAATAGCCGCTTTCAAAAGAGGAATCATTCAAGTAATTAATAATTTCGATTCTACACTTCTTTTTGACATTATGCTCATATTTTCATGGTGAAGATGAGCTGAATTGACTTTATATTTGAAAAGATTGACTGTCAAATTGGTGTTTGACCAACAGTTGATATTGGAAAATGTTTAGGACTGCCACTGCCCCACTCTTTTTATAAACTGAGCGTTAATAGGTAAATTCTTATTGAAATTTGCAGAAAATTTGGTTGGATCTGTGAGTTATTCATTGTTCATGCGAACTTAATTATTAAATTAAAAGGAATTATGGCAAAATGAAAACTTATTTTGACCATCATCCGTTCACTCACTATATACCCTTGGATGGGAATGTCACTTTAACAAAAATATTGTTTGTATTTTCAATCATATCGAAAGACTTTACACCAAAGCTCAAGTTATAATGTCCCTGTTTATTACACACAAGACAATAATTAGGTTATACGATTTCTTTGGCGTATCCGCCATCTTGACAAAATCATGTGATAAGACCATCATCACCTGATTTGTGTGAAGGCACGAAAGTTGAAATATTCTGATTCCCTCTACGGTGTTGGCACCGCAACGATTATTGTGTTTAGTTGATATATGTGCTGTGATCGTTCTACATACATATAAACATTCTATATGGTATTGACAACATAAACAATGGTTTTGTTGAGTTACTGTGATCGTTATATAACTATGTGTTTGGTACTGACGACATGAACTATTAGTTTGTCGGGTTAATGTGGTGCTGTTGTTTCGGTCCTTATACGTGCTATGGCGACATAAACAATGTTTTTGTCAGTTGTCTTGAATAAAGAACGTTTGTGTATGTGTATTTCAGACGGAGTCCTTCTCTCCGTCAGTTATCGATTTGGGAAGAACTGAATAAAATTAGATTTCTCATTGGTCATTTTTAAATTACAAACCGAAATCGGTGAATCTCATTGGTCATCCTCAAATGAAATGTCAAGGACAGTTCTAACCATTTTTGTCCGAAAAAAATGAAAAGGATAGTTCCTACCATACTAAAGTAAAATTTTAAGGATGGCTAGATATGATAAAATGTAAGGGATAGTTTTGTCACTATAAAATCTAATTTAAGTACAGGAAAGAGGACAGTTCTTTAACTTTTATCAAAAGTAAAACAAGTAAAAAGGACACCTTCAATAGTAGTTGTTGTTCTTTAAAAAAATCATCAATATCAATATGCTATAATTTAATTTCAATGTTTCTATGCAATATATGATAATTATAAAAAATCCCTTGTTATATTTTATATTTAGCAAGGTGTAATGTCAATTATATTTCAAAAACATGTATCTTAGACTAGAAAACTGAGTAATATTTGTACACATCGCGACTTATGTGGGGATGCAGGCAGCAACATTCGCCCACGGTAAACCTGCTTACCATTTGAACAGATCAGTATTTTGAACATTGTTGATTTGGAAATGCAATCAATCAATTAACACAATTTACAAAATCACCTGGACAGGCAGAAGCGGCTGTGCAATTCTTGTAATCTTGTGGATCTCCTAGACAGTACTTCCCTCCATGCTCAGGTTTTGGGTTCGAGCAGGTTCGAAGTCTTGTTTGACTCCCAACACCACATGTCTTAGTGCAACTAAACCATTCTCTCCACGATGACCAATTCCCATCCACTATAACATGAAGATTGTCAAAGTGAACTTTTTCTATCGATATACTACATTGTATTTACTTTAATTAAATTTCACTGTAAAACAGAAAGGCTTGAGCGCATCTACTTTAAGAAATTATATTCTTAAATAAGTTGGATGCGTCAGTGGCCGAGTGGTGAAGACTGTTTTTTTCTAGCCACTTGCCACCTCATCGATGAAGGCTCAAGGCCATAGCCCGAGTGATATAATGATGCGCATCCCAGTTATTGAGCAATAAAATCACTGTTTGGGATATATTATTTCTTAAATAGTCCTAGATGCTTCCTAAGTTTATATGAAATACATGAAATAACAATTAAGTTCAGAATTCTTTATCACAAGTCCCAATTTAACTTCTGTTATAAAATAGACGCTAAGCTACACAGTGCAAAAGGAGTACGAATATTAAGAAATACGTAATGTTATATAACATAGAAAACAAGCAATGTCACGTGACAGATAGTAATTTTCGTCAATTATTCTTGTTTCTCGATCTGAAAGTTAATGTCATGATACAGATGGTGTATGTCTGGAAAATGTAATTGTTTCATTAACAATATAGCATAACATTTATACTCATAATCTGAATGTCTGATTGTTGTACCTGGACATGAATGAGTAGTATTGCATGTCTTGTTGTCTATGCTCGCACCTACACACGGCTTGCCGGTTCCTCGTGGGGCAGGATTCGTACAACTCCTTGTCCGTGTTAGTGTTCCATTGCCGCATGTAACTTGACAACTTGTCCAGTTGCTCCAACCCGTCCATCCGCCATCAGCTGTAGTTAAATCATTTAGGTTATATCACTGTTTATGCCCCAGTCACATATTCACGTATAATGCCACGGAAGAGCTACGGTCTAATCGTTAATGGATTACTACGGAAATGTGAAATTTCGTAATCCGCTACGGTTCCAGTACGGACACACAACGGTATGAGTACGGAGTCCGACGGATTTACCACCAAAAGCCCCCGGAGAGACACGGATTGTTACGGACCGACACGGTTTGATACGGTGCGACACGAATCAGGACGGACGCAATACGGATACACTACGGAATAAGCACGGGTAAGTACGAATAAGTAAGGTCTGATACGGAGAAGAACGAATTGATACGGAGAAGAACGAATTGCCACGGATCTATACGGACCTAATTCATCCGTCCACAACCTGTTGCTTGCTCATTTTCAAAATGCCTCACAAGAAAAGAACACCTAGAAAACGAATTGCAGAGTTCAATGATTTTGGCGGAGAGGATTCGGCCTAATCGCGTCCGACCCCCGAGACACATCAGGTCCGATTAAAGTGAATTTCTTGAAGGACTCTTGATCCTCAACAAGTTCGGCCATGAGAGCCTCATACTTAACATGAAGCAGTCTTCGTAAAAGTTCATCTCTAATCCACCATCTCATCTGTCTTCTCTTACCTGATTAGATATGGACTAGTAATCATTAATGAAAAATGTTGATCAATACTGCTTCTCTTTTAATTTTTAGATTTGTTGTTAACCTTACAATTACATTAATTATCGTGATGTTTATGTTTTAAAAATATGTAAAAAGCTTGTTAATTCATCTTATTATCACTCAAGGGCCAGCGTCCGAGGCTTATGAGACACTTCGTTTTATATACATATTTACTCCAATTTCACGATCCAATGTTTGTAAAATATGTAACATTAAATGTTATTCTATTACTTATGAATTGTAGTACGATATTAATATAAATTTACTTCTATGCATTCTGAGCCATTTCAATATAAAGTTGCAGCCAGTAAATTGCAATTATCATTTATTGAATTTATTGAATGTTCCCGCAAATATGTCTGATTTTAACAAGAAGGTAGTATTTATACCCTTGGAAAAGTACATGATACTTAATTCATCCGTACTAAACAGTGGTGGACCGTACCATTCCGTACAGTTTCGTGTTGCAACGCAATAAACCGTATAAGATCGTGCTAATCCTTGCCTCTCCATAGTACAACGTATTACGATCGTGCCTTTCCGTGACAATACCGTATTAATCCGTATTAAAACCGTAGCTTATACGTAGGGTAACCGTACAAATAAGTAGTTCTCCGTACCACACCTTGGAAATCCTTGATAGACGGGCTTCATTTTCAGAAAAGACCCTCCGTTAAGAGCCTAACGGCATTTTTTAGTACAAGCAGGTAGTCAATCGTTTTTACGTAATTCGGGTACGCTGAATCCATTTTTTGTTCTACCACGGCTGTACTTGAAGTCCTTGACCTTCAAAAGGTCAAATCAAAATGACCGCCATTGTCCTTTACCATCTACTTAAAAAATTTTTTTTTTTGGTAGATCTACATATCGTATCGTATTTCCGTTAATCTATATGGAATAAAGTTTTAATTACTTTAAGGAATAATTGACTGATAATTATACATGCTTTACACATTGACTGCTTTCTTTGATTTCAAAATGGACACCTTTTTAATAAATATAAGTAAAGTGCTTTTAAACAAATGGATCTTTCTGTAGGAATGAGTATCAAAAATCGAATAATGATATGAGCAACATGTCATGTCGAATTGTACACACTGTGTAGGTATACTGCACACTTTAATTTATATCATTACTTCAAACTATCACAAGTCATTCTTTTTGGACCATTAATCTATATCAGGTATCTGAGATCCAAAATGTCTTACATAAAACCTGCACATTTTAATTTACCATTAGATGTTTAAGTAATCTTTATTTTAATAGAATATCATTTGTGTAAACCTTTATGGACACTAGATCATTTTATAATTTGAATGCCAAGAGGAAAGGTCAGTATGTAAATATTTTTAAAATTGCCTGTCTTCAGCGACTATGTCTTTGAGCCCGCATGTCTTTGCAACAATATCTTTTGTACGACCCGATTTCAAATAGAAAACAACAACAACAACAGAATCCCAAAACATTGATCAAAATGGCAAAATTGAAAACGTTTTAAATTCGATTTGATTGAGCCTGTACATGGATGTTACTGGAAATTGCAAAGTACTGTCCAAGCACCCTAGCACCGGCCTACGCAAAATTCATATATCAAAGGGGGAAATTGTGAGATTTGGAATTTAGAAACATCCGCAGATGTGTTTATACGATACTTTTTATTGTTGTATTGATATAGCTACTTTATAAAGGGTAAGTATTTATCAATCAAACTTTAAACATGCATAGACATGTTTAAAACAGATCATCTATTTATTAATTGAAATAAACTCAAATAAATGGTAAAGTCATTTTAATCTTTAGTATCTTTCACCTTGAAAAAAAGTCTCGCAAACATGAACCATAAACAGTCTACGAGCTTGCACTGTCTTACGGTTAATGAATAATATAAAGTAAAACATTATATGCCGTCGAAGCCTATGTCTTTAAATTTTATTTACTTAACTGAAAATACGAGTTTTTTTGCGTTTTGTCTTAATTCATTGGTATTTATTCATTGTCTTAGTTAATATCAACGTCTACATTATAATAATGTAACTTTGCCAAGGACGCTGCACCTTATTCAATCTCATGTTTTAAAATCATTCAAGTGACTAAGATATTTTCAAATCTTCATACTTATTTTGTTCTTGGCTATCTTTCAAGAAATTGATGAGTATCTTATTCCATTATGATATAACATATTTTTGATATCATTTTATCTCATATTTTTTCAACTATCACCCCATAAAATTACTATGGTATTTCTTAGTGTAGTTTTAGTCACTAAAATTTGTACCAACTATTTTTGGATACCCTGACAATTATGTAAAACAAAGATAAACAAGGGCATGCCACTTGAAATGTCTCCGAAGCTCGGCTCAGTTAAGGATCCATTACCTTTGTTGCTGGGTCGTGTTGGGGCTGCGTTTATTGAATGCCGCCTTTCTTTGTTTATCGTCTTTTCCATTTTTTACATTGAAGGCATGGTCACTGTAGTCTTACAAGTTTTACAAACATTAGAAACATTAAGAAGCATTTATTTATATCATCAGTATTTCTTATTATTTGAAAAAGCATCCATGAATAAATGACAAGGATTATATAGACACAACTATCAATGTTCTAAATTGACCTATCTAGCTATCAACCTATTAAATGTTTAAGCATTACAAGTAGTCCTAATGTGCCACAAATTTATGCCTAGATACGCCAATATTCATCCATATGACCGGACATGACCTTCAAAATATTTATATGAAATGAAATATGACATTTAATGTCTGAAATCTTACTTTATGCGATAATTCTTTTCTCACTCAAGGCAAATTGTTTCAAAGTACCACGTATTTATTCTAGGCTCCCGCTGAATAACACGTATATGGACTGGACATGGCCACAAATGCACTCTGATATCATGACTTTTGAAATACAAGTGTGACCTTGGAACATTTGTCCGCTACATGTCGTCTTATAAAGAGGCGCCATATTTACCCAAAAATGATTTTTAATTCATCCATGAATGACAAAATCGTTAACCAGACTTTTTAGAGATTTTAAGTAAATATTTTGTTCGAAGGGAAAGTATGATTTTGGTCTTTGATTTACATCATCAGCTGGGTTTTACATGTGAGTCATTGTCCCAATGTGCCATATATTTATGCATTTTTTATTATTTATGAACTATTTCAAAAGGCATCAATTAATGAGAAAGTAATAGATCGGACACAAACATCTTGTTACGTTTATATCATGATTTATGATATAGAAGTTTAACTGTAGACATAACCCTGCTTGCTGCTTGTGCATGACACGACCTTTTCAAATTACACATTTGCGCAAAGTTATTGTCGTTCCAGGACGGCGGCATATACAATTAACAAGATTCAAATAATTTTACCCGAACTCCGCCTGCTCTAGGCCAATCAAAACAGATAATTTAATATGACATGATAACAAAATAGACGAAAAAAGTCCTAACACAGGGGCCTCAACCACCATGTTCTTGTCGGGTTACATATAAGCAAATGAAATACTATCCTCATGCACGAAGCTCGGCACTAGTATGTAGAGGCTTCTATGGGATAAACACCATATGGAATATTTCTCTTACAAGAAGAAACTTTAACTCTATTATTCAGGAAAGTAGTCTATTTCATGAAAAAAAATATTTTTCGAATGCTAGCCTGGATGGCGATTCCTATATTACTTTTGGAAATACTAAGACTTTTTTTAAATATCAGGTCGTGCATGAAAAATTGTTGACCGGGTTCCCCACTTATGAACTTTTACAAAATTGCCTTTCTTGATAGACATGACCCTGATCTTTGGACTGTTGAATTGGCTCTCAAGCATTACACGTCCCAGTACATGTTCTTGCGCAATTGACATTGACATAAGCAATAAACAAACAATTTTCATGGTATCCCTGTTTGAAGATTAAGTAATAATATAAAGTATATCATTTCCCAATCCGTTATAGGCCGTATATTTATGCTTTACTATTTCAAAATTAATCTCTAAATGACAGAATACTAAAATGCACATCTTTATTCAAGCACCTTCAAGTCTAACTTGAGGAGTTGAGATTCACACCTGGGTCTTTCTTATGACATTGTATCAATGTGCCACACATTAATGCAATTTATTTCAAAATCTATCCAAAAATGACAGATATGGACGGGATTAAAAACGGACTGACAGGGACAAGCTATTACTGTGAGATTTGTGAAGATGTCTGTTATCTTCATGTTTGTTTCTTACTCCAAAAGCAGCCTTTTGCCCCCCATAATCAATGATTCATCCTATAGGTCGGGGGTATACGGAATTAATCTAAAAGACAAATTGTGATCGCAAATACCCATAACTGACACAAGAGGACGCTGGGACAGATAGACAGACGGACAGATATTTGAGCAGGTCCCCCTCAGGTTTAAAAAAACATCGCACTAATTTAAAGAACATGCATTGTATTCTTAGAAGTATAAAAAACATCTAAATGACAAAAGTGAACGCAAATATGACTCTCATTTACGTTGTATTAGGGTATAAATTGTGACCTTTTTGCACCATTAAGTTTGTAGTTTTAATGGATGTTTTTCAACGTCTTCGCTTGGAAGTCTTAATTAGTAATAATAAAAGAAAACACGCCTAGTAAAATGCCTTCTTGTGCTTGTTTACTTTAATTATAATACAGTGTATAAAATATAGGAAATTGTCCGCCATTTTGAAATCCAAGATGGCTGCCGCAATAAATTCTATTGTTTTTGCATCTATTCTTCTCGTACACACTTCAGTAGTCTAAAATTAACAAAGCCACAAAATGTGTATATATCTCGCCCATGGGAGAATTAAAGTAAAATTAAAAAATTCAATGGCGGCCATTTTGAAATGATTTTTAAAGGTCAAGGACTAAAAATACAGCCTTGGTAGAGCAAAAAATGAATTCAGCGTACTCAAAATAGGTATGTAAGCCCAACTACCTGCTTATACTTAAAAATGCCGTTAGGATGAACATTTTCCCAAAATTAAACCAGTCTATGACAAGTTTTTGGACTACGAATCAGTACGAACTAGTACGGTTTTCGTACGGACCAGTACGTATCAGTACGGTTAAATACGGACTAGCAGGGATACGCTACGGTTGATTTTTCCGTAGCAAATTTTTGTGCATGTTCAAAAATTGTCCAGGATCGCTACGGATATACAAGGACTACTACGATTGATTACGGTTACAATACGGAGAGCTACTGACCAGTACGGGTAGCTACGGACGATGCCGGAATTAATCCGTGGCCCTTCCGTGGGCGTATTCCGTGAATACATTTGTATGTGACCGGGGTATAAAAATCTTCCGAATATTGCTGTGCAAATCTAATCACCAACATATAGCTTGATTTCCATTGATTGGCAGAAATAACACATTTAGCTAGGTACATTTTGTATTTTTGGGATTTGTATCTTAAAGGGTATATATCTAGTTTGTTTGTTTTGGGTTTAACGTTACATCGACACAGTATAGGTCATATCGCGACGTTCCAGCTTTACTGGTGGAGGAAGACCTCAGGTGCCCTTCCGTGCATTATTTCAGGCACGAACAGGCACCTGAGTAGAACCACCGACGTTCCGTAAGCTAGCTGGGTAGCTTCCTCACATGAAAGAATAAAACGTCCCTGTCGGGATTCGAACCCACAGAGGTGAGGGGCAAGTGGTTTGAAGTCAACGACCTTAACCACTCGGCCTATATATCTAGTGAAATATTTTTGATAAAATTTATAAATGTTAAAATTAAGTTGTTTCCATACTCCAGTAGATCTATTAGAGAAAAAAACTACATGTAACATAAAATGTTCTGTTATTTAACAAGCATGATAACGATACATACAAAATTAAATGTTCCAGAAAAAAATTTGTTATGCTGGTATTTTAACTCCGTTTTAAACCATTCAGCAATGATTGCATGTATGCGCAATTTGCCAGCATATACCAGCATAATGTTTACATGCAGGCATTTTCGGATAATTCTTTTTCAAAAATTCAAATTCAAACAAAATATTTGTAAACTGCAGGCATCAGAGTTATAGCATTCTACACTTTAAACTATCATTTATTATTGCATGTTATTAAGACTGGTTACCTTCATTTTTTGTTAAAATGGACTATAAAGATCATGGCATTCGTTGATATCGTTTTGATATTATACTTGTGAAATATATGATGTTCATATATATGTGTACTATTTGTACTTTAAACATGAAAATAAAAATTACATTAAGCATAAAACTAACCAAAATTTTGAAATACTTATTACTAAAAGGCGCATATATCGAACAGCAAAAAGAAGAGCACGCACTAAATATAATCTAAACCAAAAAAAGAAAATGGCTTCCTTAGCTTCAAAACAACCTCAGAAATTTTGGAAAGAAATCAAAAGGCTCCGAAAAAAATGTAGTAAGAATGAAATATCATCAGATGAATTTTATGAACACTTCAAAAATTTATATTCTAATGAAGATCTTTTCAAAAACGACTTTGTTGAGGAAAGAATAAATAATATTGATATGGATTCTACCAATATTGAAGAGCTTGATGTTAAATTTACAAATGAGGACGTTGTTAGGGCAATTTCTTCTTTAAAAAGCGGTAAGAGTGCGGGGGTAGATTTACTTATACCCGAAATTTTTATACATTGTAAAAATATTTTAGCTCCTGTACTTTGTAAATTATTTAATCACATTTTTGATACAGGTGAATACCCGGAATCTTGGTGCAAGGGAATCATAGTTCCTGTGCCCAAAAAAGGGGATAATAATGATGTGAACAATTATAGAGGCATCACTCTGACCAGTGTATTTTCAAAACTATTTTCAATTATTCTAGATTTTCGTTTACGTAAATGGGCTGAAAGGAATCACGTGTTAAACGATTTTCAATTTGGTTTTAGAAACAATAAGAGCACTACTGACTGTATATTTGTATTGAGTTCTATTATAGATAGGATAACAAAACATGAAAAGAAAAAAATGTATGCTGCATTTATAGACTTTAAAAAATGTTTTGATCTTTTGTATAGAAATGGGATTTGGTATAAATTGATTGAAATTGGAGTATCATTGAAAATTGTAAAAATGTTACGTAGTATGTATGCCTGTGTAAAGTCATGTGTAAGAGCAAATGGAAGATTGTCTGATTATTTCGATAGTTATATGGGTTTAAAACAAGGGGAGCCACTCTCACCTCTCTTATTCATATTTTTCGTGAATGATATGCACAGCGACTTGCTTAATGATACTGTTGGCTCTTTCACAATAGACGACATACAAATATTTCTTTTATTATTTGCTGATGACACAGTTTTATTTTCTTATTCTAAAGAAGGACTACAACATCTTCTAAACAAATTGTATAATTATTGTAACAATTGGGGAATTGTTGTTAATGTACATAAAACTGTTGCTATGACCTTCAAAACCGGTAATCGAAATGATGATTTAGAGGTCTATTATAATAATGAACGTCTTAAAGTTGTTAAATCATTTACATATCTTGGTGTTACCTTGTCATCTAATGGGAATTTTTATCAAGCTCAAAAGTCTTTATCCAACCAAGCATTAAAAGCATTGTTTTCGTTGAATTCTTTATTTGATTATATTTCCTTGAATGTATCTGAAAAGGTTAGACTTTTCGATACTATGATTTTACCAATTTTGACATATGGATCAGAGGTGTGGGGCTTTCATAACTCGCCGGATATTGCTAAAGTTCACTTAAAATTCTTGAAACAAGTTTTAGGCGTTCGTCCGCAAACATCAACTTCGACAGTACTTGGTGAATTTGGCAGATTTCCTTTGACAGTATATCGCAAAATTCGAATAGTTAAATTTTGGTATAGAATTTTGAAAGCCCCTGATACTCTATTTTTTAAAATAATGTTTATGGAACAATGTTAATGTTACAAGCATCCAATTAAATAATATTATACAAAGAATTTATGATCAGCAATTACAACAATGGTGTTCTGAGCTTAGTAGTTTTCCTAAATTATGTAGTTACAATTTATTTAAATTTAACTTTATTCAAGAAAAGTACTTAGATGTTGTAAATAACATTAATCATCGTAAAGCATTATCAAGGTTTAGATGTTCATCCCATAAATTGTTAATAGAAGAAGGAAGATATAGAAATATTGATAGGAATTTACGTATATGTACTAAATGTAACATGAATCAAATAGAAAACGAATATCATTTCTTATTAGTTTGTCCATTCTATAGTGAATTGAGAGGTCAATGTTTTCCTCGGTATTATTGTCATTGGCCAACCATTAATAAATTTATATCAATTATGCAATCTTCGCAAAAGAAAATAATTGTTAATTTAGCTAAGTTTATCTATTGTGCTATGTGTAAGAGAAGCTCAAACAGTTGATTTTATGAATGTAGGTATTTGTTTCCATATTAATATATTCTTTATTTTCTTCTGTGACTCATACTGACATTTTGATATTTTGTAGTAGTTATGTTAACTGCTTACCATACTTTTCTTATGTTATGTAAATATGTTATAACCGCCACGGTAATTTGGCGATGAACATGTATTTGTTTTTGCCAATAAAATATTTGACTTGACTTGACTTGACTATTTGTAAACACATCTCTTCTCTAGCTTTTGTTGCTTTATTGCGATATTGTGATATATGTATCTTAGCGTTGAAAGTCCTTTGAGAAGTAAAATATTTTATACGAGTATTAAAGTAGGTTATTCAAATGTTCGGACACTTACCCGGGCAAGAAGGGTCGTCGATGGTTGTGCATTTAGCTGTTTCTTCAAAGTCACCCTGGCAGTAGTCTCCACCAAAATCAGGTTTGGGGTTTGAGCAAGTTCGTAACCTACTTTGAGTACCAGTTCCACAAGACACGGAACATGAACTCCATGGGAACCAGGCTGTCCAATTTCCGTTTACTAGAAATAAAAAACAACTATAGTAATTGTTTGAAAGGTTTGTCTTTACTTGATGAAAAAGTAATTCTTTATTTGTAAATCTGTAAATGGGTAATTCTTTATTTGTAAATCTGTAAATGGGTAATTCTTTATTTGTAAATCTGTAAATGGGTAATTCTTTATTTGTAAATCTGTAAATGGGTAATTCTTTATTTGTAAATCTGTAAATGGGTAATTCTTTATTTGTAAATATGTAAATGGGTAATTCTTTATTTGTAAATATGTAAATGGGTAATTCTTTATTTGTAAATCTGTAAATGGGTAATTCTTTATTTGTAAATCTGTAAATGGGTAATTCTTTATTTGTAAATATGTAAATGGGTAATTCTTTATTTGTAAATCTGTAAATGGGTAATTCTTTATTTGTAAATCTGTACAGAATGATGTATCAGTATGTTGTAACTTTACATTAAGATAAGAAAGTTGATCTAGTACAACTATCCAAGATGTAGGCTAATCAGTGAAAAGTTAATATCAGATTTAAAATGATTAGTTTAGCATGAACATTTATTTTCACTTGTCAAGTCCTGTAGTAACAACAATTTAAACGCACGGACGTCATAGTGTTTATAGCATGAACCTATAGTACAAGTTACCTGGACATGGGTCTTTGTTACACTCCTGAGTTTGGATGTCCGAACCTGAACACGGTTTGCCGTTGTAGTACGGAGGGGGGTTTGCACATCGACGGATTCGAACCTGGTACCCACCACCACAAGTCTCATCACAGTCTGACCATGTCGCCCAATCAGTCCATCCCCCATCAACTATAAATCAAATTATTCTCTTTGCAAGCCTGACTACTTTGCTTGAAAAAGAATATGGTCTCCTCAAATATCAGCAAAATACATGAAGCTGACATGTCTATCACACAAAGTTTGAACTTATATATTAATAGATAATTCTCGGTTCACAGCAGTTGACAAATAAAACAGACAAATGATTGTTATAATGTTTTTAAATAATACGAAAACAAAGATTTAAGGGCAGGGCGGTATTCAATGAACGCTTGCATGGACTCAGAGGGGAATTAAGACGACTATTCAAATAGGTATATAATCAGTTAAACAAAAGTCTATAATGTAAGCCTTATGATTATAAAATTAAGATTCAACGATAAAGAATTTGGTATAAATTGAGAAAAAAAATGTGAGACTCGTGGATGACTTAATACAGCGCCAGCGGTAACAAATTGACATAGCACTAGCGAAAACAACTTAACATTTATTTCGGAAGAAAGCTAAGCACATTATTTCTATAGTTTTAATTAATGGTATAATATACATAATTATAATTAATGGTATTATATACAATGATAAATAAATCCAGTACACTTGGTGCAAGCTCTAGCGTCATAGAGTATCCGGTAGCAAGTAAAGCAATATTCTATTTCAGTTTTCGTAAAAACTGAAAGCCAACATTCCCTATTCTCTTTACACACAAAAAAAATACAAATAAACTAAAATGATGATAAAGCACTTTATATGACAAAATAATAACTGTTATCGTCCAAATGGTTAAATGGATATATAATGAAAGTTTAAACAGAATATTATCATCAATGTAATTGTCGAAAAGTTGTCGAAAAGTTAACTACAGTAATTTATCTTACGACAATAGAGATACGTATTATAAAAAGTAAATATGACAAAAAATAAAACAAAAGTAGTGATTGAATCATTTTGAAAAATTAGTGAAAACCTTCACGCAGATGATATTACTATAATGCTAGTCAAACCTTGATTCCTACAGAATTGACTACTAGTCCAGTATCAAATGAACAATGTTCATCATGAAAAACCAGTGAAATGCAGTATTTAAATGTGTCTTACTAGGACACTTTGTTGGATTTGTGCAGTTTTCTGACTCTAGCTTTATACCCTCACAATCTTTCCCTCCATGTGCTGGTGCCGGGTTAACGCACTTTCTATCTCTTGTTCTTGTACCTTGTTCACATGTTGCTGAGCATGCTGACCATTTCGCCCAAGCTGTCCAGTTACCATCAACTACAATATGATTTCAGTCATAAACTTTGTTATTTCCCTTATCTTCAACTACAATATAATATCAGTCATGAAATATTGGTATCGGTATTGATATTAACATGTATATTATGAAGCAATTAAATAAGTTTAAACTTAATTAAACGCGATAAGCAAAGTAGATAATAGTAAACACACATACATGAAGTTATAATGTCTTCACTTATCATACAATCTAGGGAGTAGAGCAGTATCTATGGTATGCCAAAGTAATTAAATACTATTAATACTAAATAAATAATGTTCAGAACTGATTTGTCCTACACTACCTACTGTTAAGCATTATTATATTTTAAAAACATCTATATGTAATCTATTTTTGTACTATATCTACTGATTACCTGGACAAAACGACGAGCAAAGTCCACTCTCGTACTCACGGCCGTTACAGGTGCCATTGTTTTCTTCAGAAAATGAACAGTTACGGAACCGGAAATGAACAGATGTACCGCAGGTGGCGCTACATTCTCCCCATGATGCCCAGTCACTCCACGTGCCATCTGATAAATTATACAAATATTATTGGTGAAGCAATTTAAAACATAATTATAACCTTACCCGTGTTAACAAAGTGTCGATTTTACCACAGACACTTGGGGTGTGGAGCTTAAAACGCCTTTAAAATCCAAATAAAATGTATATTTGTCAATCCCAGCACATGTACTGAACATACATATATATAAAAAACTTTAATATAAGCCGTTTTGAAAAAAAAATCATATTTCAACGTCTATAATTATACACAAGATATAATTGTTTGCCGGAAAAAATCCGCACACCTACCGTCAACATCACCATGTATTTTATTCCATTTCCAATATTTTCACATAATCCTTTTGTCCATCGACACAGACGATATAATTCTTCACAATGATGGTCAATTTTTAACTTCAACGTTAATATAAACAACGCAACAGCCGAAATAAACATCAAGATTATCGCCGTTTTACTCCATTTACAAAATCTTTCGATAAATTCAAACGTGGCTCCAGCTTTGCCGTGTGCAAAATGCGCTGCTCTTTGAAATATGGGAACCAACTTATTACGTCAAAGCCGACTGGTTCTCATCTTCAAAGCGCAGCGCATTTTTCACACGGCAAAGCTGGGGCTACGTTTGAATTTATCGAAAGATGCTGTTCGCATCAGTTTCTCTACTTGTTATAGGGTTTTGGTAGCAAACAGCATGGATCCTGATCAGACTGCGCGGATGCGCAGGCTGGTCTGGATCCATGCTGGTCGCAAACCCATTATGCTTGTATTGTCGTGACGCAGGTCAAATGTGTTATCCTGAGAGATAGGTTTTTAGTACAAATTGATCAATTTCGATGTGGTTTTTTGTTTCTAAAGAACCGAGGTCACTTAAGTAAGGAAGGGAATGTATATTAAGATTGATAGTCTACCCGCCTATTTATTCAAAAATAATTAATTTTGTTTCAAGCTAAGATTCCTTAACTTAAATGAGAACTAAACAATAGTGCATGCAAAGAACCAGTTTGAAGCATAAAATATGATCAGTAACATGTAATATCACATAAGACTGCCGCATTCAATCATACTGTACTGATAAGAGTGAGAAAAAACCTTTGCAGTCGACATATTCGCACAGTTCAAATTGGTCCATGTCTCCCACACAATCTGCACCTCCAAACATCGGGAAAGGGTTCGAACAGTTTCGTGTCCTTAAAATATATGCAATATAGAGATTACATCTAACTGCGACATCTTTGTATCATTTTAAAAAAAATTGCCCTAAAGGATTACAAAGTATATCGGTATTTTACATACTTATTTAAGCTCAAATGTGAAAGAAGTCCTTGTGTCTTATACTAATCACTTATGAGTCTGCCTCATGGACCTAACCTGTACTGATGTGATATGAGGAGACATTGTCGTGATACAACTGATGTTCAACCGGATCATTGTCGTGATACAACCAGTGCTTGACCTGATCATTGTCGTGATACAACCGGTGCTTGACCTGATCATTGTCGTGATACAACCGGTGCTTGGTCTGATCATTGTCGTGATACAACCCGTGCTTGGCCTGATCATTGTCGTGATACAACCGGTGCTTGACCTGATCATTGTCGTGATACAACCGGTGCTTGACCTGATCATTGTCGTGATACAACCGGTGCCTGGTCTGATCATTGTCGTGATACAACCGGTGCTTGACCTGATCATTGTCGTGATACAACCGATGCTTGATCTGATCATTGTCGTGATACAACCGGTGCTTGATCTGATCATTGCCGTAATACAACCGGTGCTTGACCTGATCATTGTCGTGATACAACCGGTGCTTGACCTGATCATTGTCGTGATACAACCGGTGCTTGACCTGATCATTGTCGTGATACAACCGGTGCTTGACCTGATCATTGTCGTGATACAACCGGTGCTCGACCTGATCATTGTCGTGATACAACCGGTGCTTGGTCTGATCATTTTCGTGATACAACCGGTGCTTGGCCTGATCATTGTCGTGATACAACCGGTGCTTGACCTGATCATTGTCGTGATACAACCGGTGCTTGACCTGATCATTGTCGTGATACAACCGGTGCTTGACCTGATCATTGTCGTGATACAACCGATGCTTGGCCTGATCATTGTCGTGATACAATCGGTGCTTGACCTGATCATTGTCGTGATACAACCGGTGCTTGACCTGATCATTGTCGTGATACAACCGGTGCTTGACCTGATCATTGGGTTAACAGGCAGATAACTTAACCACTAGTATAACGCTTAAATTACGTGATTTCTAGGCTAGCCATGGTTTGCTTCTAAATGTAGATACTTAGTTATATATGATTTTATCGAATTGATAAAAATTTTAAACTCCACTTATGTTTTTTTTATGAATAATTTTTTCCCGGATTAATGTTTCCTTCGATGTAGGTCTTGACAAATAACTTATGTGCAAAATTCGCTTTCTCCGTTTGTCCAGATTATTCTAACTGTGAAATAATGACCCAAAATTGAAAAACTTTTCACTCAAATTTTGCTAAAAATGGATGAAAAATATAAAATTTTCAGTTCATTTCTGAGTATATTTCTTTACCATCTTTTGCATATATGTCCTTAATTGTCCCCAGCTGATCTACGTAAACATTCACATTATATGTTTTTTAGGCTTTTCGACATAAATGGAGTTTTTTTTAATAATACAATTCCGTGATGCCTCGGTACATAAAAAAGTGTAACACCAACATGTGTTAATATAAGAAATATAAGAAGAACGTGTTCCCCATTCCATATCTATAATAAGTTGCAAAAGAAAGTGTGTACTTGTTTACAGTCAAAATTTGTATACTTATCTAAGCAAAATATTAACATGATTGGTATAATAATTGTTGCTTTTTATAAATGCGTTCTTTTTTTTTGTTTGTTTGTTTTTTTTGTTTTTTTTTTTGTTTTTTTTTTTTTACTTTCGATCCGTCAATAATTGTATGGGATAACATTCAAACAGAAGTCCATATGACGGTACGTCAGGTCCCATGCACCCTGAACACTTTCGTTGATCTATGGATGAGATAAATGCCACACATACAGATTAATGGTCACATAACCAGCTAAGGGGCCAGTTACACAGACGGTCAGTCCCCAATCGGTCATTTAAATTAACTCGCTGTTATGATCGGTTGTCATGCGTGATTTTATTTCTGGTTTTCTGTGTAAACGGCCATCGGTGACAGAAAGCCAACTCAAACGGGGTTGAGTCGATGATTAAATGCTGAAATACTATCAGTTTTTATCGTTTGTAAATCGGAGCTAAATCGGGCGTAACGCTGATTAATCGGTGTTTGATAGCTAGTCATCAGTGGTAAAACACTTTCCGTCAGATATGGCCGGTGATTCATATTTGGTTATCTTTGTCCGATCGGCGATATCGGTGATTAAGAGCTTGCATATCTCGTGATATAGGTTGCTGTCGGATATTTGTAAAATATTTTCACCGATCGAGAATTTTAAACATGTTTAAAAATCCCAATCGGTAATTTTTCACCGATTAAACTTATCTTTCCCCAATAGCAGTTGATAAGTGGAAAACAGGTGACCAATAGGTGATATCGGTGTTAAATACATTGTCATCGGTTCATTCTATAATTTGGCTAAAAAAACTACCGATCAATCACCGATGGCTCTGTGTAACTGGGGTGTTAAAAAGCGTTCAGAAATCACAATTTTGCTATTTTACTTTTCATTCCTCCAAGTGACTAAGTGCACACTTTCTTTTGCAACTGAATATATGTTATAATAATTACCTCTCTTTGTAGCGTTTATAGCCACAAGTATTGTTACATTCTCCAAACTCAGACCAGTTGGTCCAGCCTCCAGGAACTAAATAAAACAAATAGAATTATTTCACTAAGTCTTATTTCAAATCAAATGCATGTCATATAGACATATAGATATAATTAGTATACACTATTGTAGGATCATACATACATGTATATAGCATGGGCTGCGTGGCAGAAAACAGACGGATGCAACATAAAACCTTATTTTACTAGGTATATAATACATTATTTCCTTTTTATTTGGTGGCTTTAAAATGATATATTATACAAAACGACGTCAGTGGTTCAACAAAAAGTAGTGTCCACCTGACAGTGCACAATTATGTTTTATCGGGGTATATAAAAAAACTGCGAATAAACACGCATTGTACCAGCTTACTGACAAATGTTTTCAGTACATTTCACAAGAAATGTTGTTTTTATACAGTACAATTTTTCCTTTTTTACCGTTATAATCTTATATCTCTGCGGTATATATAATATAGAAATCGGACCTCAAGGCATTATATTGACCTCAAAGTCAATCCAAATATTCGGTTTCCGTCAATTGAATGTTTGCGGACTGGCAGATCGGTGAGTATAATGCCAAGAGACCCTCAATGATGTGTACTATTGTTTAATAAAACTACTATGTATATATGTTGCATAAATGTAAAACATTCAGACCCGTATCAGCTTACCTGGACATTCCTTTAATATACATTTAGTAAATCCCTGACTGGAACCTGTACAATCTGAACCGTTATACGCTGGTGCTGGGTTGTTGCAAGCCCTAGTTCTAAATGATACACCATATCCGCATTTCGCAGAACATGTGGTCCACTTATTCCAATCTCCCCATTCACCGTCAACTAAAACAAGTGAATTTTTTTTTATGATTTTCAATACCTTTAACATTGCTTATTGTGCTTGTACTTGTAAATATTTAATTACATATATAATTATAAATGTAATTATAATACAATATAGTCGTGTATGCTATAAATAACGACAAGTTTATACTGGTGATGCCTGTGTAGATTCTTGTTACAATGTTAAACATTGTCCAAAACAAGACAAGCGTATAAATTTTGAAAAAATTCAGAATAGATATATAAATATACTGTAAGTCTGTATTATATGCGGAACTCTATTACCGATGCACTCTCAGTATTTCGTCGTCTGCAGCCATGCACACGCTGAAGTTAAAAATCTTTGACCTCATTCAATAAAAAAATGTAAAGATTAGTAGAATTTCTTCTGCTTCACATAAAATATTAATTATTAAATTCATCAATGAAATTCAATACAAACATTGTATACGCCGATAATACGGAGTCCCATGTTACATTCAGGTATGTGGAATTTTTAAGTCACATCAACACAGCATGTGGGGACTTTTCGGTTTATAGAAAAAATTTCCGACGAAATCAGTAACTTTTTCCAGGAACTCCGTAACAGTTATTATAAAAACTCTTGACAAATTATCATAAGAACTCTATACTTCGTGTAACAGTTCCTCCGCCGTGGTATAATTAAACACAAAATATCGACTCCTTATGTGATGGATGATTGAAAATGATAATATTTGTAGAATTTTAAAATTTTGGGGTCAATTTCTTAGTGGTAAAAAAATAAAATATGTGCTCTGTTGTGCTATGTATAATATTCATGAAAAAAGGTATAATTTTACATTGTCAGTGGAATCTGCATTAATTAATATTGGTATTAGTATACACGACGGTCCGTCGCCTATACTACTATTGGTTGCTCAAGGTTTTGGGTAACACATAGCATTTTGAATTTTAATAACAATAATTTTAAGCTAAATTAAAATGTCCCAATTCTGACCTTCCTGTTGAGAAAGGTCATTTTTTATATTGAAAGAAAAAAATAGGACTTGCTCAATCTGAAGCCAACAAGAAATAGGTGACAAGTTCCATTATATTATAAATGTAGTTACTTACACACGTATAGAAATTACTGTTCTAGCTTTATTAGTACAATACATCAGACGCTAATGGTGTAGTGATAAAAGAAATAATCACTTAATCTAATAATAATGCTGAAAGTTCATATAGTCATCTCTTTTATTCACTTCTTTGCCATGTTTGTATTATTATTAGTTATAATGTTAGTTCAGTTATTTGCAGTCAAAGGCCATGAATTGTGTTATTTCAAGTAAACGAAATAAAATAAATGGTAAAGGAACACTTTGGCTATCACATATGTGTGCAAGTTGCGATTGAAATTGACTATTTTTCAACAGATCCCTAGTGTTATTCCGTTATCCAATGTTTGCACTACTTTCACTGTTCATTTCTTCCAATGCTTACTTTACTTCTTAAAAGTACTAACTTACTTTTACTGCTTGTTTTACATTTACCTACTTGCACTGCTCCCTTACTTCCAGTGGTTATCCTATTCCTTTACTTAAATTTACTTACAGTAATTATCTTGCTGTCTGTGCATATATTGCTTCAAGCGCTTGCAACCATTGCTTTTACTGTTTCCCTTGCTGCCAGTGTTTCTCTTGCTGCCAGTCTTCTCTTGCTTTTAGTGTTCTCCTTGCTTCCAGATTTTCCCTTTTATTCTAGTGTTTCCCTTGCTGCCAGTCTTCTCTTGCTTTTAGTGTTCTCCTTGCTTCCAGTTTTTCCCTTTTTTTCCAGTGTTTCCCTTGCTGCCAGTCGTCTCTTGCTTTTAGTGTTCTCCTTGCTTCCAGTTTTTCCCTTTTATTCCAGTGTTTCCCTTGCTGCCAGTCTTCTCTTGCTTTTAGTGGATTCCTTGCTTCCAGTTTTTCCCTTTTATTTCAGTGTTTCCCTTGCTGTCAGTCTTTTCTTGCTTTTAGTGTTCTCCTTGCTTCCAGTTTTTCCCTTTTATTTCAGAGTTTCCATTGCTGTCAGTCTTTTCTTGCTTTTAGTGTTCTCCTTGCTTCCAGTTTTTCCTTTATATTTCAGTGTTTCCCTTGATGTCAGTCTTTTCTTGCTTTAAGTGTTCTCCTTGCTTCCAGTTTTTCCCTTTTATTTCAGTGTCACCCTTGCTGTCAGTCTTTTCTTGCTTTAAGTGTTCTCTTTGCTTCCAGTTTTTCCCTTTTATTTCAATGTCTCCCTTGCTGTCAGTCTTTTCTTGCTTTTAGTGTTCTCTTTGCTTCCAGTTTTTCCCTTTTATTTCAGTGTCTCCCTTGATGTCAGTCTTCTCTTGCTTTTAGTGTTCTCCTTGCTTTCAGTTTTTCACTTTTATTCCTGAGTTTCCCGTGCTGCCAGTCTTTTCTTGCTTTTAGTGTTCCCCTTTATTCCAGTGTTTGTCGTGGTTCCAGTCTTCTCTTGCATCCAGACTGCACATGCTTCCAGTGTTCCCATTGCTTTCTTTGTTTCTATCGCTTTCACTGCTTTTATAAAATGTATATGAAACGAAACCAGACGTGTCTTTCGCAAGTCAGATTGTTTATCTTTGATCCAGGTCAAAGACAAAATGTTATTATGTTTAAAAATTAGTATGTAACAAGTAGAAAAAAAATAACATAACTGCTGTCTTTTATTTGTTTGTTTGTTTGTTTCATTTTACGCCTTTTTCCAACAGTATTTCAGTCATATAGGCGGGTAGTTTCCTAACCATCGTTCCTGGAGAGTTACACCAGTACTAGACTACCTTCCTCCGCGCTAAACTACCAAAGCATCTCCCGGGGATCGAACCCACGCCAGAGAGGTGACTGGATTAGAAGTCATCGACTCTAACCCCTCGACCACGGAGGCGGTTTTGCTGTCTTTTAAATGTGTATAATAGAATAAACGTATATTACCTGGACAGTGCGACATTTCACATGGTTTTGTGTCATAGTCTATGCCTGTACAATTAGTTCCATTTCCCGAAGGTTCTGGAGCATCACAGATTCGTGATCGAACATGGTATCCATGGCCGCACGAGACAGAACATGTTGTCCATTCCATCCACGAACCCCAGCTGCCGTCTACTGTAAATATATACATTGAATTTGTAATAAATATATACATAGTGAAACTTAAAACGTTCTTCTCTGAAGATCTTTAGGACAGACTTCTGTAACATTGTAAACTTGAGCATCACGTCAGTTAATATTGTTATAATCTAAATGTTTAACATAAAGTACTAAAATAGTTTGTAGAAGAATCTTGACAGAGATGAACGTTTTATTATCTATTAAATAAATTGTATGACTAAAGTAACCACAGACAGGTAAGCTTAAACCTATAATAGAAACAAAACGGCAAAATAATCATACCATCTTGACTGTTAGCACATGTCCACATACAATATACCACGAGCAATCCTAAAACTTTTTGCCCAAACATAATTGGATGGGTCTTACTGAAACGTACAACAATAGAAAATGATGAATAATGATAAAAATGTCTATTAAAATATATCAAGTTAAGGCATATGAAAGATCATCTCTTCAGTAATGTATCTGTAAAATACGCCGAGACAATGTTTTGTATTTCATACATTTGTCGTTTAATGTATTGTCTGTTAGACAAATAATTGCAGGATTAAGAATTAATATTAATACTTATATGATTATTAAAGCCACAGATGGCCTTAGTGGCCGAGTGGTTACGGTCGTTGACTTAAAACCACTTGCCCATTACTGCTGTGTATAAGAATCCCGCTAGAGACCTTGGATCTTTTTATGTAAGGAAGCTATCCAGTTAGCTTACGGAACGCCGGTGATACCACTCAGGTGCCCTTTTATACCAGAAATAATGTACGGAGGGGCACCTTAGTGTAAAGCTGGAATGTCGCCATATTATGTGTTAGAGCGACGTTAAACCCAACCAAAAAACCTAGATTATTCTATAGTCTTACCGAGTAAGATGTCTTGTGTCAATCACCCACGTGTGAACAATCGCGAGGGAAATGGTTCTAACTTAAAGAAATTTTAGAATTGAACAAGATGTACAGACATTTCAATGTACCATTTATACTAAAAGTGTGAGCTGCCGATTTGTTTGTGATAGAATATTGATTCCGTTAGGCTAGTACAAAACTTGATCTGACAGATACCCGTACTGAGCCAATATATATCAAGTCACGAAATGTCACTATTTATAGAGTAGAAATATTACTTTACCTGTATATTAGCCCTGTGATTTATGTGGAGAGATAAAGAGATCACAGTGGAATCATGTCGAGATTTTCAGGTTCTCTGATAGGGAGGCATTATCAGTTCATACTTGACCTACATCATAATCTAACTGTTCAGACATGTACACAAGGCCCGCTGTCTCACAAGTTAACATAAATCAATGTATTTCAAAATTGACATATGATCTGTATTTTACAATTTTTCTAAAATTAAAGTCAATTGGTCTACAATGGGCACATTTTCCATACGTATTCAAATATTGATAAAAGCAACAGAGATGTATCATTTGGATATACTTATGAAATATTTCTTGAAAACAAATATGCTGATATAGCTCTAAGTGATTCAGTTTGAAAATTCATATGATGAGTAATAATATTTTATTCTAGAACATTTTAGTATCTGCTATATATATATGTGTGTGTGTAGATATGTCCGATTGTTTCGGAGTATGATACTAAATACTATCAGTAACATAATTTATGTGGAGCAATTCATTTTAAATCTAGTTAAAGTAATAGCCCTAGACTAAATTCAAGTAAAAAAATGTTTTAACGATGATCTGTCTTTTGTCTCTTTATTTCTTGATACACTTCATCATTATAGGTCAAGGTCATAGTGTCATCAATAATGAGGTCAGTTACAAGAAATCAATATAATCCAGAACTTTCAACCTTTATAGGACGATAGTCCTTAGACCAATTACCTTTAATATAATTAACAGACTTTCATCTTTACGAAGTATTGCCCACACTACCTTCTTTTTTTAGCGGGGGGGATAATTTTGGAATCATTGACTACTATTCCAGGAGATAAACTGCAAATCAGTTCAAATCAATATTCAGGGGACCACACTTTTCATGTTGTTCGTGGATATTTCAATTCACAAAAAGGAAACTTTATTTCGTCAGCTGTATGATTATTTTGTAATACAAACAATCCACGAAATAAAGAGCCTACGAAATAAAAGCCTACGAAATAATGAGCCTACGAAATAAAGTACGAAATAAAGAGCCTACGAAATAAAGAGCCTACGAAATAAAGTACGAAATAAAGAGCCTACGAAATAAAGAGCCTACGAAATAAAAAGCCTACGAAATAAAGTACGAAATAAAGAGCCTTCGAAATAAAAAGCCTACGAAAATGTCCTTCTTGGCAAAACCTTGAAACATCATTTCGAGGACACAAGGTAATGGACAGTAAATATAGATACACTTTGATATCATATAAAAATCTACAAAGCTTATTGCTAAACTGTAACTTCACATTCATATAGATTATGCCAAGAACTTTCAACAAACACTGTTTTTATTCCATATTTATATTTTATTTAAAATTGTGCTAGCAGAAGCATTTTCTTATCTTTTTGTCTGACATATACACGCCAGTGGCATAAAGTTTAAATGGAGTCACAATAACTGCACAGATATGTGTTAAAGTTAATAGGTAAATGTTCATTATAGTATGCATTTATATAATTAAATTGGTCAAGAGCGGCGCAGCCTGTCACAGTCTTTGTATGTTTTCTGAGGTTCATGTCCAAACTTTAGGCACTGTTTCTTATGTCCGTTAGTGAGGAAATGGGGCACCCACCTAAAGCAAACCTTTCTTACGCCAAAACGCTTGGTCAGAATTAAATAAATATTGCCTTCTGATATGCCAATAAAGCTAGATATCTCCTTTACTGACACTCTTGCATCCTGTTCTACCATAACTTTCACAGCACAACTGTTTGCCTCGGTAGCCAAGGTTGTAGACTAATCTGAACGGTAGTCATCCTTGACAGGAATCTTTCACCTTTAAAAACTTTGACCATCTAAATAAAGATTGTGCGCTATGAAATGACATGCGGTCTTATTTTCTGTGAAAGTATTTCAGCGCAAACACTAGAAATTATGACAACTTTACGGGTTACTCTTCCGACGTTCACATTGTGCGTTAAAGATCTTTGATAAAATCCATTTTGGCATATTGATGATAGAAAATTGCTAAACATTCTTTTGGTATCCCCGTCTATACTAAAAAGTGTCGTCAAAGTTTAACTTACAAAATTTCAAGGTAAGTAATCAAAAGTTTATCAAAATCGATAAATAGTAAAAGATCAGAGTTATAATTTTTTCACTATATTGCATTATATCATGAATTATTCGTCTTTGTCCTTTCAATCTTCCCAATATAAATCCAGTTTGGTCAGTGTTACTAAATCTGTCTAAATATATTTTATTCTTTTTGCCATGCACCCAGAAACAATTTCATAAATTGTAATCAGCAATGTCATCGTTTGTGAATTTTCAGAAATTGTTTAGGTTAATCACCTGTAGGGGTTCGTGTAATATTATACCAGACTTGTCAATGTTACAATGAATTGTATGCCTACATGTTGAGCTACATGCCTCCGGATAGGTCAAAATACTTCAATCAAATCAAACTTGAGAAAAATGTACTAAGATGTAAGGAAAAGTAAAAAGTTTCAAGATTCAAGTAATATTTTACATATACTTGTGCGATTAATGACTGATTTTTCATAATTTACATCTATATTTCTACTGCGTTACTAACGCAGTAAAGGCTATTTATGCATATTTTGACCACTTTTTGGTAATTTACGCGGTTTGTAAGTACCATTGATAATGAGTAACTTGCTTCCTTTAGGTTACTTCACAATATTACACATTCAAATACATTTTCAAAATTTTCATGAAATTAGCGTGAATCTGGAGGCGTGCTGCTTTAAGTCATAAAGTATATTGATAAATATTTAATTGTTTGATGGGGCAGTAAAAAACACACATCTATATGAAAATAAATATAAAAGAAAGGCAAACACACATCTTTCGACATCAATTTTGTGGATGGGGGAATTGTAACAGTTTTCTCAGCAACTAACTTATCACATCATTAACATGTGCCTTCATACAGTGGGATTCGATTGTCGCTCATCAACTTCCTGTTTACCGACTTAGTTAAATTTTCGACCTTAATGGTCAATGGTAGAAAATTTTAGTAACATCACAGCCTCGTAAATATCAAATCAAATCAAATCAAATCAAATCAACTCAAATCAAAATTTATTTATTGTCGGTTTATATATATAACATTTCACAAAACAAGCTATGTATAGCTTTTGACCGACATACATGCATATAAACATAAAACTCATAAAAGAAGCACATTATGATAATTTTTGAAAGACAAATGGTAAAACAAGTTAAATCAATCATAATACTATAAGATGGGATGTAAATTCTACACGTAATAGTTTAAAGTTAAATAATAATAAATAATACTGACATGCTTCAGATAACATTTAGATTACTGTAATATAAATGTATAAGTGAATAAAATAATATATATCTCGATAAAAAAATGTCGAACACATTAGCCCATACATAAAATTAAATTAAATTAAAAGTTGAGTGGAGTCTGCTGATCTTGACCCAGGTCTTAGGACTGTTATAAAAGAAAGAAATAAGATACTGAAAATGAAAAGGATCACAAAATTGTGACCACTAAAAAGGTTTTTAAAAAAATAAAAATGAAAATCCCCAAATCAGATTTGGCAAGAAGTGATCAGCAGCCTCCGCACAAGCTGGCAATAAGCAAACAAAATTCAAGCACACTGGCAAATCAAAACATGTACATAAACATTTATGTTGAGAGTATTAACAAAATTTAAGCCAAATGTGAAACAATCAACTGTAAAGATAAAAATAGATTAAAAAGCAGGCAGGAAACAAAACTGAATATGGAGCTAAACTATAATGCAAGTTCATTGACAGAAAGAACATGAGCAACTCTCTCCATTCCATGCACCAATTAAACTTTTGAATTGGTTATAATTCACTTCCAGTCTGAGGTGTTGGGGAAGTGAATTCCATAGTTTTGGTGCATAGGAACGAAAAGAGTTGCTGCCATAACCGGTGGTTCTTACCTGAGGGATGATGGCTACATTTATATACCTAAAATTAAAATAATAAGTTTTTATATTAACAAGATCATGTAAAGTATGTTGGTCCTTGTTTATGAACGATTTTATGAATTTCGAGTGCTATAATTCTGATACTTCTTAATTTTAAATTTGGTAGTTATGTAATTTTGGTAATAAAATATGTTTGATTTAATGTGTTTTCATTCAATAAAAGCTGTTTTGAGTATTTTCAGCATTAATTTATTTAATTTACGAATGAAATATAAAATGGAACAGGGTCTTTCAAATAGAAATCTATTTGAAAGACCCTGAATGGAAAGAAGGTTTCATAGACAGTTTGAATATAGGTGTGAAAAAGTTTGTATTTTCAACATGTGGCGAATCGTTATTACTCCTTGGGGAATCGTTACATTACCTAAACGATATAGATTATATCAAAAGGAATACAAATGCAACCCGGCCATTTCTATCATTGATCCATTTTTATAACTATATCAGGCGAAAGTTTAAACTTTTAACATTGTAATTCTCCTCCTAAGAAGTAACTTATAAGACTATTGAGGAAAGAATGTCCGGAAGGTAATATATCTTGATTTTTGGCAGACTGCCAGTACACCATATATGGGCCAATACTTCCCTCCGCACTTACAACTGTTACATGGCACGGTGATACCACCACTGAGTACTCCCGGTAGCACCGGGCCACCTACCTCGCCGACAACTCCATCTACAGTTCCAAATACATTTGAGCAACCATGGTACGAGTCTATGATGTCAAAATTGACCTCTATCGAGACCCACCAAAAATCTATAGAAACTAAGCTTTCAAAATTAGATAAACTTGAATCTGAAATGTGTAAAATATCGCAGAAAATCTCGTCAGTTGAAACACGTGTATTATCACTTGAAACAAAAGTAACTGATACCAATAGTCGTCTCACGGAAATGGAGGTAAGCAGAAATTTTGATACGCAGGTATGTGATGAGTTGAGCAATAAACACAAACAACTTGAAAAACTCTTGAAAGCCGAAAAAGATGAAAATGCTGCGCTGGCTAAAACTGTTGAAAAATTAAAATTAGAGAATAAAAGTATGTCTGATGATATAGTAGATGTTACATCTAGGCTTATGAGGGATAGCCTCCTTTTCTTTAATTTTGACGAGGAAAAGTCACGTGATGATCGCAGAACGGAGGACTGTAAAATCAAAATTATCAATTTTTGTACATCTAAGCTCGGTATTAATGATGCTGATTTGAACAATTTGTTGTCCGTGTTTAGTAGAATAAAACTAGACATTAAAACTAAATTGTCCCTATTCGACTCTCTCGTTGTTCCAATACTATTGTATGGATCTGAAGTCTGGGGAATATATAACTGCAAAGAAATCGACAAATTGCATCTCCGTTTTTGTAAAATAGTCCTTGGTGTTCGACCTCAGACTTCCAATGCTGCTGTGCTTGGAGAGCTTGGTCGCTTTCCTTTATCTGTTATCTGTAAAGAACGTGCTCTTAAATACTGGTTAAATATAATGAAATATCCAGGGTCATTAGTACATACAATATTTTTGGAACAATGTGCTTTGTTACCTAATAATACCATGTCTACTTGGTCGTCGTCTGTTAAAAAACAACTTGATAGTCTTGGATATAGCTACTTATGGAATTCTCTAAACCTTGATATGAATTATTTGCCAATGTTAAAACAAAGGCTGCGTGATCAGTACGTTCAAACATGGAATGATACCATAATGAATCAATCTAAGTTATATTATTATAGAAAATTCAAATGTGAGTTTAAATATGAAAAGTATCTAGATATTGTTACAAATGAGCATCAAAGAAAAGAATTGTCTCGTTTTAGACTCTGTTCCCATCTTCTTGAAATTGAAAGTGGTAGATTTGCAGGTATTGATCGAAACCTACGAACTTGTAAACTTTGTTCACTTAATGTTGAATCTGAATATCATTTTTTGTTATGCTGTCCACTCTATAGAAACCTTCGTCGAAAATATAATGTTAATTATTCTTTTCCATGCATTAATAAATTTACTAGATTATTGTCTTCAAGTAATAATAGAACTATTAGGAATATTGCCAAATTTGTATTTTATGCTATGCATTTGAGAAATGAAAAACTTGCAATTATTGCTGCTTCTTAGGTTCTTGTATTATAACTGTATTGTATTACATGAATTGTATTTATGTTAAATGTAAATTGTATTATCTTGGCCATCCTTTTGTATATTGTAAATGGCCAAAGGTATATTGTATATGCCGATTTGCCAATAAACTGAAACTATTAATATTTGTAAAAATGGAAACGTGTTTGTGACGGTTCTATGCGCTTTCAACAAATATTGCCGAAGTTGTTTTGACAAAAATAGTGAAAATTTTTATATTTCTTTGCAAAATTCATATTTACTTCAGAAAATGTCACCACCCTACTAAAAAGTTTGAAAAGATGTTGGCTGACGTCTGTTTGATATAAAATGGTGTTGAAAGGGGGAACAATTTAGTGGTATTAAACCATAAAATCTCTGTTTTTCCGGTAGCACGGTTTAACAGAATTTATCCAATATATAGTCTTTATAGAAAAGTTTATAAAGGTAAAATTATTGTATTTAAACATATATAAAGCAAATTTCTGCTTCATAAAACCTAATTTTAATTGCATTTTAATTTGATTTCTAGTTTTTGGAAAATTTTAACTTAAATTATGTATATTGTTTATTGTAGGTGTTAGAGATTATTGCTGTAAAAAATCAATTATGGCTGTTTCAAAGTTGATACGGATGTAAACGAATGGTTTGTAAATGAATTACCACGTCAAATGTTCAATGATTTGTTCTCCATTCATTTAGACATATGATTCAGTTTGTTCAAAATGATGAGATGTGTCATATATCTTTCTACAGCTGGTGTTACTTGTACTTTATTTTCGATTTTATCAGTTTTCAATTTATCAGTTTATGAATTCTTTTTAAATTTTAGCGATGTTCCCGACTTTTAAAGTTTAGAAACGATATAATGTAGCCATAAATTTTGCAGACTTAAAATGACTAAATTGGAGTGTCTACGGGAATATTATTATGTCTAATTTTTTTTTCAAAAGACGAAGCGGGCCTCTCAAAGCGACCTGTTACTTATACAGGACTTATTACAGATAATCTTTATATCGAGCTCGACGAGCTGGCCCGAAGGGCCTGCTCGCAAAGCTAGCTTTACGGTAACGCGAGTACCTGTGAAGTGCTGGTTTTGAAAACTTTCGTCCGAAGTACTGAATTGGACACATCGCAACTTTTCGAATTACAAGAAAACGATAAAAGCCGATGTACTCTCATTGAAAATGGAAGCGTAGACTGGTGTCCTGCGCACTTATATAGGAACCAAAATAGAAAGGGGGAACCAGAATAAACGGAAGCAGTGTATAAAATACCGAATGACAATTTTAAAATGTAAAATTAAAATGAACGCTTATTTTATATTACGGTAAAAGAAAATTGAGCTCGCTTTGAGGCTTGCCTTTTTCATATTATACCTGACGTTAATAATATAAAATGAGACAAAGTATATGAATGGGGAGGTCGTTAAAGAAATCGCCCATTTTTCTGTTTTAAAGGTGTCATAATCACTGATAATGACTCATTCGATATTTCATGCACTGCTTTCGGATCGGATCCGTTATCACTTGGAATACTCGACAATTATTATTAATCCAAAAAGCTGCGGTTGTTTGTTATCTTAATACCCCACCTATTATCATTAAGTTACAATGAAAATGGCGGAGCCCGACTAGAACTGACACTGAAAATTTCATTGATAGGTACAAATTCTATATATTCTTTGTTTTTTATTTGATTTTCTTTGAAAAACAGACATGTAGTCTATAGCTGGGCAAGCCAAAGTCCGGTCCCTGCCTTTGACTTCCTTTTATTAATAAGACAAAGCCTCAAAGCAAGCTCTTTGACAGAAATTATGGTACATAATAATAATTATAATTTAAACCCATTGCTGTTTTCAATACACTTAGAACTGCAAACTTCAGGCCACACTCATCACAACAACTGGTTCTCTGTCCAGGGCTAGCTCTGACAAATTTTTTCTTTGAGCCAATTTTTTGCGTCGAATATAATTGCCTGTCTGTATTTTATTTTCGAATCAGGCAATGGTATCATGGCATGAGATATTTTGAAAAACATAAACTATATCCAACTTTATTTTGGTTAAGTTACATTTTTATCAAATTAACAAATCTTACATCTATAAATGACAGTCAGTTATCATATAATAGCTTAGAGTTCAGTAATTGTAACATTTGCCAAAAGTTAGGCAGCATCGTTCAATCTTATTTTTTTTCAAGAATACTCTGTTAAGCTTCAAACAGTGTCCTATTATGTTCCTATAGAAGTGAGCATGAGACCAGTCTACGGATCCGTTTTCAATCAGAATTCCTCGGCATTTATCCTTCTCTTGTATGTCGAAAATTTAGGATTGGTCTATTTCCCATGATTTGCAGTACTTCCAGCGAAACTTTTCAAAACCATCACTATCTAGCAGGTACTTGTGTTACGTAAAGCTCGCTTTGTGAACAGGCCCTTTGGCCAGCTCTTTTAGCATGCTATTATGTATTTAGTAAACCAATCAGGTGCAAAAGTTATATTAGTCTGCACAAATTTCAGGAAATGTACTTTCACAAATCTGGATATTACGATTAATGGTAATCGGCAATGCTTTTCGATGGGAACCCCATAATGAGGAAACAGGAGAATCAGTTTTCAGGTTTATTATAAATAATAATGCAGGTAACCTGCTAGTACTGATTCCTCAGGTGTGCTCCAAATATCATTAGGCAGGGAACCAAAATAACTTGATGAAGAGCAGGCAAACTTATTACCCATAATTTTGCTGTACTTCTGGCAAAAGTTTTCAAAATCATCACCTAAAGATATTTGCATTTCCATAATTCTCGCATAGCTCACTATAGCCTTATCATTATATACACCGACACTTGGGGTTATGTTAGTCGCTCTCTTTTATCCTGGAAGGGTTATGTTAGTTGTTCTGTTTATCCTGGAATAGACCCAGGCCATCCTTAAAAAAATGTTCGTTTGTAGTAACGCGACCGACTCACAAAATTTGCCCCTACTCAAATTTTTTTTCATGGTCTGGATAAAAAATTTTTTTTTTTGAATCAGAAAATTATGCATTGTGCTTTGTTTTAATTCTTTCAAAGGTTAATAGAAGAAATAAAATGTAGTTCTTATTAAAGTAGAATTCAGTTATCAATTTATTAATTGTTACCAGATTATCAAAGCATATATTGTCCAGCATTTTGAAATTCCATGACCTACCTACCCACCTTGAAAATTCTGGGTCGGGTTACTGCAAACAAACATTTTTCAGGATGGCCCCAGGAGTCTACACCGAGGGCTCATCCTGGAGAGCGATTCAGAAGAAAACTTGTTGTGCTTAATCCTATTTCTCTGTCCGGATATCTTGGGGAGAAGTCAAATTTGCAGGGGGAAAAAAAGAATCCCCATTAATATGTACTTGAGGATGTCATGTAGAAAGTCTGTATCCACCCATAGGCAGACTACTTATTATCATGAGTGAATCAAAGCGTTGCTTTATATTAGTATTACTACGCTTGTACCTGTCTTGTATAACGAAAGATCGCTTACATAATAATCACTTCATCAGCCTGTGTGACAATTTATCAATGTTTATAGGGTTTTTGGTTGTATTTATACAATTACACCTCTGTCTGATTAACTCAACATGTGCCATTTTATCTAACTGATGTACTTAATGCTTTTTGATGTAGGTGTTAAATGCGATTTTAAGTCTGTGACAGTAAATATGATGGGCTATAAAGTTTCATAGCTATTGAAAAAACAACTCCCAAAGTCCGTAAGTGAAGTGAAAAAAAATCAATTTCATTATATAAACAGCAGCTTGATAAAAAACTATCATGATAACCTTGATTGATTTCAACCTTTAGACATCATATTTTAACGTCGCCAACTATTTAAAATCATAATGGACAATAAGGTTGTATGGCATTGCATGCCCTCTGTAAAGAAATGCCAATTTGACACAGCTTAGGCTAGCGTCCCTGCTAAAACTACCAATTATGATCTTCTTGAACATTGTAAAAGTTTGCCATTATTTATTTTATCATTGGGGAAAAATTCTACTGTCAATTTTTTTAAACGAAAGCTGGTTATTGTAATCCCGAAGTTGGCAGACAGGAGGGTGGGCATCAAATTTTGGGTTTCCGCTCAATAATTATAACTTGAGCTTGCTTTGGCCTATTGACAATAAACTTGGTGTATGGGTAAGTTTATATTAAGAGGCAGCTTGGGAATGCTACCCAGGTGTCTGTAAAGTGTAATCAAGGTCTAGGTCACTGTTGCTAAAAATAGAAGTTTCCGCTCAATAATTTCAGTTTGCTTCGACCTGTTGTTGCCAAAATTTGTATCTGGGTAGCTTATACGAAGAAGCAGTTTGGAATTGCTAGCCAGATTGCCTGCTGCACAGTAAATGGGCCAATTTTTCAAAAATACATGTAATGCAGGCTTTTTCAAAAAATATATTGCATTTTCTATTATTTTTTTGTGTATTTACAAAAGACTAACTATAAAGCAAATGTGCCCAAAATTTTTTTGGGATAGCATTACCCAAAATAAAAATACAGACATTTTTATACCCTAAAAATGTCCAATTTTACATGTAATGTGTTAGCATCTGTTTTTTTTTTGGTGTTTTTAGAATTAACACCACTATTATCTGTTTTAATTTATCACTTAAATCTTTCTACATGCACATAGAAAATTTAATAACCTTTCCAGTGATATATAATACTTGGTATACATCATCCAGGTTTTTATCGTTAAGATGATTTTAGTAAAATCAGACTTATGTAATGCATCAGTTTTTTCAAAATTCAGTTGTTAAGTAAACAAGTATAACCTTTAAGCAATTACAAATAAAATAGTACTTTATTGTCTCAATCTAATGAAATATGAATTAAAAACATATGTTAAGTGTTTTCAATTAAAATTTTTAAACATTTTACCATAGTAGCATTATAGTGGGAAAAAAAAATTTTGTGATGAAAAAACTGTATCATCCGTCCCCCTCTCATAAAAATATCCAATTATAAAACAATACTCATAAAAAACAATGTTTCTTGTGCTTAATGATAGCCTTACTATGAAAATGTTACAAAAATTGCCAATTTCTATGTTTATAAGAAGAAAAATACAATAATGAAAAAGTTGTCTGTAACATCCGTCCCCGTAACATCCGTCCCCCTATATAAGGTGCTTATTAAATCTCACATAAACTGTAACTGAAAAGGGAATTTTACACTAAAACACCAAAGTTACTTTGAAAAATGAAGAAATAACAGAAATAAAGCACTGAAATGATGTATTTATGAAAAAAAAAAATATTTGTGAACACTAAATTTCTTAATTTTGAAAAAAAATCAGTATCTTTTGCTCTGAAAACAAAATTATTTACTTTGAAATAAAATTTGTATGTTATTTTTTTCAAGTGGACCAACGAGTTTAATAAGATAATATTTAAGCTTATATGAATTTATAACAAATATAATCTTTTGTTATTCTGTGTTTACAAACTAAGGGTACAGAAGGGGACGGATGTTACAGAATTGATTTACAGTAATACAAAACTTATCTTGTTCTTATCAGACCTGGGGATGATTACATTGATCAGTAATTGATTAAATTACAATTACAGTCTAACTTGCCCATGCGATCATGTGTATTAAGCAACTT